TGTTATACCTACAAATGGGGAAAGTTTCAGACGATAGTCGCCTTCAGATTTATGTTCGGTAAAAAATGGTCGAAAAACTGAAAGTGTCGAATTTTTTTTTTTGCCAGTAAATCCGAAACAGTTAATTTGACAGCTGTCAAAATATGACATTATCCGTATTTTTTTGAGACAAATAAGATAGCGTGTATGACATGTCTCAATCATCTTTTGTTTTCCCGCAACCTGCCAAAACCTTCATCTTTATTATAGCCGCCATATTGGATTCTTAGATTTTTTAAGAACCTGGCCGGTATTCCCTACTCAAATGAAGAAAAATAGTAGTTAATTTAATAAACCATGGGGCCTACGAACAACCTAGAAGCGGATACAATATTGAGAACGAAAATCGCGACAGAAACATTTTACAAGCTGTCAACAAAATTCCAGTGCATCAGTAAGTAAGTACAATAGTTCAAGGACTTAAGGCCCGTATCGTCAGTCGTCCCTAAAATTGTAGGGCGCGTTTATGGCCTCCTTGTCCTCATAGTTTTCTGCTTCTCCGTGTCAGAACTCTATTTTGAGGTTGTCACAAACATCTATTTGCATCAAATTGTGCTTGCTTTTGAGTTATATCATGTTTTATATAGGAGAGCGCTGACGCTGACACGGGACAAGTGTAACCTAGAAATTTTTGAAGGAGAGAAAGGAGTATGACAATTAAGGAGGCCATAAACGCGCCCTACAATAATTGTAGGGACGACTGACGATACGGGCCTTAAGAAAACTGATTTTTCAAAGCGAATGTGCTTCTGTGAGTGGTATACTAGGAAGTCTATCGAAATCCCGATTTCGTAAATCATGTCTTGTGGTCCGATGAGAGTAGGTTTACGAATTGTGGAGCTTTTAGTAAGTACAACACTCATCAATAGGCCTTACAAAGTGACAGACAGACGTCTACAGACCAGATTTGGTGTTGGGTTATTGGTAATTTAATCTAACTTATCTTTTTTAATTGGGCACCTATTTGAAATTAAGTATTAATCATTTCAGGAAATCGACTTATAGGACCATTTTTGTTTGACTGCAACCAAAACGAATAGAGTTACCTAGAGCTTTTGCGAAACCAGGTTGTGCCGACTTTACGAGCTAGTCTAACTTAAGATGAGTTCAGAAGAACCAGGTTTCAACAGGATGGATGTCCGGCTCACAACACCATTCAAGTCAGGAACTTCTTAAGAGGGCAGTTTGATGAAAGAATAATTTCATTAAATGGTGAATTATCTTGGCCTCCTAGATCCACTGACCTTTCACCCTTGGATTTATACCTCTAGGATCACACAAAGAATGAGGTCTATGACTTTGATCCTCCCGCGACTATAAAAATCCTAGAACAAAGAATCTTGAGCACAGTTAGAAACGTTAAAGAAATACGTACACTAGCCAGGGTTGTACGAAATTGTCAAAAATGTCTGGATGCAAATGGTCGTTATTTTGCAAATATGTAAATTATTACCTACTTACATAGTTAGATTTTACATTTCATTACAGTTTTTTAATATGTTTGTTTGTTCAAGTGTAAAATAAATTTACGACGATTTTTTTTACTTGTATTTTTAACACACTCATATTTGGGAACATTTGACTTGTTGAGAAGTCGATATTAACGTTAATATTCTATGGAAAATTCAAGGCGTTTATGTGTTTTATGCCTTACTCATTGGTGTTATTTTCTGACAAATAAATCATGGCCTCCTTAGAAAAAAACTAACACATAACATTACGTGTGATGATATTTCGGTGATACTCCAATCTTTTATGCACTTATGAGACATCATTAGCCTGGAAATCTTACACTCTTTTCAAAAAAAAAACAGTATGGCGGCCATAAGAAAAATAAAAGTTAAGGCTGGTTGCTGGAAAACAAAAGACGATTGAGACATGTCATTCATACTATTTTATTTTTTTCTTATGCAAATTTCTGAATAATGTCAAATTTGACAGCTGTTAAATTAACCGTTTTGGACAACAAATTCCGCCATTTTCGGTTTTTCGCTGATATTATCAAAACCAATTGACCGATCGTAAGTCTGAAGCGAACCATCGAAAGAATTAAGTTTCCTCTAAAGCTTTCCCCATTTAACATTTGCTGTAGGTATAACAGGATCCGAGATCGCTGTATAGAGAAGCGAATCTGGGACACACTGTATAGTGCTTGTCAAAAAGATCCTCCCACTAATTATTTTTTAAATGGGTAGGCAAGCTGAAAATCGATGTGATGAAATTGAGTCATGAGTACTATCTTTTAACATGAAGTGGCAGTTGAAAATTTTTTTTAACTGAAATAAAAAAATAAACATTGGTGGTATAATATAGCGTTTTGATGATTGATTGTTGAGTTATAAGCGATTCAATGTACCAAACCAATCAGCTTTGACAATCCAGCAGTCCACCATTATTTTTATTCTCGCGAGTTTTAGAGAAACAAACATCACAGCTTAGATAAGTCATTTATAACGAATTACATAAGAGAACGTTTTAATATAGCTAAATAAAATTGACCGAATTAGAGTTCATTTCTTTTTATTCTATACTTTCACTATGGTGTTTGTAACTTACGAAAAAAGTGAAATACGATTCGTACAAGGTATTTAGAATTGACAATAAATTATTTGAAGGTTTGTCAATGGAACTGCAGATCGGATATAGCAGTCATAGATAATTTGGAATTCCTTTTAGAAGAGCAAAAAGTGGGCACCGCACTTTTGTCTAAAACTTGGTTTGAAATAAACACATATGAAATTCAAAGGTCTTTACGTTATCCGTCAAGACTGATAAGTAGATAGGACTCAAAGTTAGAGACTCGTTTGGCTTCTTATAGTTGTTTTTTATATATAAAACTTGCTACCGTTCCTTAGACTGGAACTTAGCACTCAAGGTAACACCTGGAATTAAATAAATTAAAATTGCCTCTCAACCTTCCACATAAAAGCCCTACGTTGAGGTAGATGCTTTTTCGCAGCGCCGATCACTGTAATACAGGGTTTTTCACAACTTATCCGGCAAATTTTAATCACATATGCACTATTACGAAGGAAGTTGATTTCTCAAAAAAAAATGTAATTAAAGTCCTACAGAAATCGAGATAATAAAACAATACAGTTTAGCAGTTCACTTACTTATAAAAGATGTTCAAAATTATTTCCATTGTCTGTAATGCAAGCTTGGGCGCGTCTAATCCAATTTCGGGGTACTAGTTCAGATACACCTCCTTCCTGCTGAGCCTGAATGCTCAAATTATCGGCAGCCACTGTGATTCGGTCTCTCAATTCTTCAATATTCTGAACTGGAGTACGGTATACCTCATTTTTCAAGTATCCATATAAAAAGAAGTCCAGAGGATTTAGATCGGGAGACCATGGAGGCCATGCAATTGGTCCACCCCTTCCGATCCAGCGTATCTGGTATACCTGATTCAAAAAATCACGAACTCCTAAATGAAAATGCGGAGGTGTGCGATCGTGCAGAAACCACATCCGTGCTCGGACCCCGAATGACACATCTTTCAAGAAGAACCGGCAAATCATTGCGAAGAAATTCCAAATACTGGTGACCATTCATCCGACCTGGCAATATGAACGGTCCAATTAGACGTTCCTCGACAATACCTGCCCACACGTTAAAAGAAAAACGATGTTGGAGGTGTGTCTGGACCACTGCGTGAGGATTCTCAAAGGGCCAAACGTGTATTATGAGGATTGGTTCGATCGACCGTTCTTCATTGGAGTCAGCTACAATACAGATTAAGCCTTATTTACACGTTCTTATCAGTATGAAAAAACAATAATTCCTGGTATTTTGTTTTCATCAGTTGTTTGATACATTTGCTACAATAAATTATTATTGCGTGTTCAAATATCACGACGATGAACGCAAAATACAGATATTTATTTTTCAATTTATTATTAAAACTACAACTTAATTTCTGTAGGAATTTTATTACATTTTCTTTTTTGAGAAATCAACTTCTTTCGTAACAGTGCATAAGTTGTTAAAATCTGTCGGATAAGTTGGGAAACACCCTGTATATTAGATAGATAGTTCCTTGTCTCCAGATCATAAATATAATATGAGACTCGTCAGATATACCTGTATGAGTAGGTTATTATGATCAAAATTTAAAAACATGTTCAAGTACAAATAGACAGATTTATCAAAAAAATAGCGGTAGAAATGAAAAGAACCACAAGCGCAGAGCAAGGAGACACAAAAATCAACGGAACAAGGTGTATAAAGGTTAACAATCATAACAATAAAAGATAAAAGGTACGCAGATAAAAGTATCAGAACTCTAAAGAAGTATATAAACAGATTTAGTCTCTCATTAGCATTTTTCTATCAACAGATTCCTCAGCTCTTTCTTGAACCTATTAAAGCTCCTGATATCTTATAGCATTTGATTTCAACCTAATGAATACATTGGTGCAGGCGTAGTCTGGTGATTTTTCGAACATTAGCAGTGTATATCAAGGTATACCGAGGTCATGTTTTGCTCTAGTGTTGTAGTCGTTATTTAAAACTTATCTATAAAAAAGTCTACCTAAACCGCTTTTACAATCCAAAAACACATTTACCATTTTTGGGAACTACCAAGTCTAGGTCTGTCTGGAAACTAAGGCAGTTTCATATATTTTCGCAGAAAAATAGGAATTGTGTAGCATCAACACCTGTCAAACTGGCAGCTTCATCTCAATCGACTAACAGCGTACTCTTGCATCCTGGCTGTTGACTATAATTTTGGACCAAAGCAAATGTCATGCTAACTCCTTTCACCAAGTCTAAACTCGTTAGCCAGTACTCATATTTCAGTCGCTACTGTCAATGGTGAATGTATCTGTCGCATGTAACAGCAGCTGGTGATAAAACTTTGTAAAAAGTTCAAGCAGGAAGACATAACTGTTTCAAAGTACTATTCTCCAAGTGCCATTAAAGTGAAGCTCCATCCTTTTAATTATAAGTATTACTCTCATCGTCCTTGACAATATTTGAGTGACTGCAACAGTTGCCGGTCCTTCCATTTTCATCATCGACTTCCTCAACCGCTGTAAAACGAAAGAGGTGTTGTTATAACGAACAAAATTTTCCCTACCTTCTGAATTCCTGTGGCGCTGAGTTTGAAAAACAGATAAAACAATCATAAAAGTTCCTTATAATGGATGAAGTCGCTTTAAGTGCTGTTTCGGAGTTCAGCAGGTGGAATAAAGTACTTACACGCGTCTTCTGTTATTCTATGATGATTATGATTATGAGACTTCTTAAAGGCTTTTTAGAATAGACAAAGCTTTACCTCTCCAAACTTGGAATATTTATCAGTCCTTAACCTTGGCCTCACGAGGCTGGTTCGATAGCCGATGAAAATTAAAGCTTTCAGAGAACATGCTCGTATTAATGTAATATTACTTCCGATATACAAAAAATAACAGATGAAGGCACGTAATTTTGATTGATGACTCTTCTCTAACGAACAGTCTCGAGATCCTTCCGCACCGGCCGGCCTTTGGCGATGTGGCTCTCTTCTACCGCTATGCCAATGGGCTTTGCTCCTCAGAGCACTACTGTGCCTGCATGTATACCGCCTGACTGCACCCTCCCATCCAAACCGTGATAAACTTTGTACATCCAGAACTGCTCCACGATGCGACCACTCCTTTGCCTCAGGGTGTGGAGATTGTGGAGCAATCTGCCTGACCTAAGGCAGTTCAAAAATCGTATTAAGAAAGTGTGCCTATAGCACCCGCGGTGCCCCGGTACTTACGCTTCTGTCTACGGAGTTGCTTTGGTATAAAAAATATAAGAGCAGTAGGCCAATTCAATTTGAGTTGAAATTCATCTCATAATCAAATGTAGCTTATTGGCGAAAGCATCCAGCTCTGTACAGTCCTTTTCACGTACAAGGATAATATTCTCCTTTGACAATTGATAGTACTTTTTGATTTTCTCTCGACGCGATGCGAGCTTGCAGATATAACAATATTCTCTACTATGTTGTAGGGAATCACTCAGCCAAGAACTCTATTAAAGGAGAAAGAGGGGGAATAGAGGAGAATATAGGATTGTTTTCGAAATGGAAATTCTTTATTATTAACGTGAATGGCAAGAATTTCAACTCCTTCTTGGAATTGATCGCTTACTCATTCCCAATTATTAGATTACATTTTCATTTATTCGTCGTGCTATTTTAGTGGCCTGCGAAGATGTTGTGACGCTTTTTGCTTGAGGTCACGAACACCTTGTACAGCTACTCCTCAGCCGCCAGCCTCTTATTCAGTCACCGGCGGCGTCAGTGAAGAAAAGAATTTACGAATCTTATGCTTAATGCCCAAAGGTTCAGAGTATTTTCTTACTCCTACCCAGTTATATCCCTTTCATCAGGCAGGACGGGTCTTTCGATTAAATGCAAGACTTAGGGCTGAGAGCATCAACCAAGGGATTTCAAAACTGAGCTGGTATGTTGCAGAAAATATAAAAAACTTCTGGAGTACTGTGTTCGAATGACGAGATAATATTCTTAATACTGAAGCTACATCGCTCTACAACATTCGTATACGACGAATTTCATATAATTTCAGCCTTAGAGCAACCAGATGTTTATTAACAGGAAATATGTACGCTTAATAGTATAGGAGCTAGCAACGTTTTCGAGAAAGAATTTCAGGTCAGCTGATTTTTTAATATGTTGTCCTTCTTCCTCTTTTGGGTAGAGCCTAGGCTATCTGGCTGGCGGTAGCGGTTGCGTTCATTGGTGCGCATCCTACCTGTACAGGTAATAATCCAAGGTTTTGAAAGTATTTCAAGAAGCTAAATTTTTAATTTCTTATCTTTAGATAGGTTTACCAAACACTATTTTTTTATTGCCAGACACTTTTATCATTGCCAATGATATGCCATACGCGATCTTTTTTTTTTTTTTTTTAAATTTCAAATCATTATAGTACGTCTGTCATTTTAATATTACATTATTTGAATATATAAAAACCTAAAATTAATTTGCCAAACATTAATTCGATTGCTAAACCTTGAAACATCTTCTTAATTTTATGTATTTAAGAAAAAGTTGAAAATATGTTCCAGTTGCTCGGACGGGTATCAAATTGCAAGTAATGCTAGTTTATATCAGAATTAGGATAAAAAAAGATAAAAACCCAGAAAACCATTTAATTTTGGCTGATTTTGGGATAAAAAGGCCAAAACAAGTCAAATTTTAACCGAAAACTATCCAAATAGAAGAGATTCCGTGATGGATGTTTGGTGGTGGTGGCACGACCCTATGTGTGTGAGTGTGTGTGTGTGTGTGTGTATGTGTGTATGCGCGTGGGGGGAGGGGTCGAGGAGGATAGAGGGTACGCTCGCGCGCAGCACGTTTCTGGAAAGTTACGCGTATTTTTTTGTCTAGACAAAAGACAATAAATTTATTTATTCATTTGGAAACAATTCAATAATAATTTTGAAAAAGAAAACATTTTCTCAGTCCTGACATTTGGTATGTTCACCTGTAACGATAAAAGGATTTAATGCGATTTCATGGTTAGGTAAATGAAAATATGTACACTTTTAAAAATCTTACCGTCACTTAAGCAGGTGGGTCGTCTACATTGGCAGTATTCTGTTGTAACGACGGTGTAACTACATTATGGACACGCACAACGCGAATCTTACCGTACCTGTCGCGTTGGTCGTCCCTGCACTGTGGGCACGCATGCCCGCTCACACAAACTGACACGCGGGCGCTCTCGCACACACACACACGCACACCTACACACACACACACACACACACACACGTACGCACCTACACACACACACACACGCACACACAGACACAGTCCTGCCACCACCACCATCAAACATTCATCACGGGTTCTTTTATATTTTGATAGTTTTCGGTTAAAATTTGACTTGTTTTGGCCTTTTTATACCAAAATTGGCCAAAATTGAATGATTTTCTGGGCTATTTGTCTTTTTTTATCCTAATTCTGATATAAACTAGCATTACTTGCAATTTGAAACCCGTCCGAGTGACCGGAACGTATTCTCAATTTTCACTTAAATACATAAAATTAAGTAAATGTTTCACAGGGTACGACGAAAATGCCAATGCGGGGATTTTTGGGGAACTTTGATATGTTGTAAAGGGAGGTCTAATGAGTCGAAAACCGTTGAGAAAAAGTGTGAGCGATTTTTTTCCAGCTTTGGGCAGTTTTTGAGCTATCTTTCCTGGACTATTAAGAAATCCACACAGCGTCGTGATAGTAGTTAGAGAGAGACAGACAGTGACGTTGGCGCAGCCGCCAAATTTTCAAGATGGAGTCAGTCTAAAGGCCCACGTTTGTGTTTATGTTGTGTCTCACTGTTTGTTTAGCATCGAAGAAAATGGTGAAGGTCTACGAAACCAGTTTATCAATGAATGTGCCGAGGATGAGAGTAGATTTGATAAGCCGATTAAAAAAAATCGAGTTTTAAATTTTACTGAAGCTCCAAAGAAAAAGAAGTTAGCTCTCGGGAATAAAGTTGTTGAACTGCGCATGCAAAGAGATTTATTTGGTCGAATGTTGGGAATTTCCCTTACTCACAAGGTTGACATTGAAAAAGTTTTGTCATTCCCACTTACTCCGATGCCAACGTCTATGTGTCATCCAGATGGTTCAATCTGTAAAACCGACAAAGCACAATTAACAAAATTGATGGAGAAGAAATTGGAAACTGCGATCGATCAACAGCCGTCATCTTTTGACATTAGTACCTATCGTTGATGTTTTTTTTATGTTGCATCTCATGAAAGAGATACCACAAACTTTTGATGGAATCGCTAAAAAGTTTCTTTCTGCGATCTCCCAAATGAAATCAGTTCGGATCGATGTGATTTTTGACCAATACTTTTCACCATCAATTAAGGATTTTGAACGTTCACGTCGAGAAGAGTCAACCATTCCAGTATCTATCGGTCCTAATCAAATTCGGCCACACAATTTCGGAGCTGAACTTAAAAACATGGAATTTAAAATAGCTCTAGTTAACTTTTTTATTGATCACTGGGATAGTGAAGACATGGTACCTTTTATTGGTAATAAAATTATTTATGTAAGTTTCAACAAATGTTATTCGTATAAAGTCTTGAATAACAAAGTTGTACGGAGTATCGAAGAATCTCTATCATGTGAAGAACACGAAGAAGCTGATTCTCGCATTATTTATCATATATGTCAAATTGATTTCGATGCCGACGTTGTTATACGCTGTTCTGACTCCGATATCTTAATTATATTACTGGGTAATATGGATCACCTCAATGCATTTTTGAAGATTTGGATTAACATCGGTGTAGGCAATCATCAGCGATACGTAAACGTTAATGAATTATACCGAATCCTTGGTGATTCTCTATCAAAAGCTTTACCATGCTTCCACGCAATCACGGGGTGCGATTACACGCCAGCATTCTTTAGAAAAGGTAAAGTTAGACCTTTTAAAATTTTGGAACAATCTAAAGAATATCAATCAGCGCTTGGAAACATAACTACGGATAACGAAGATTTACTTGACAGTACTTTTGTAATCCTTGAGAAGTTTGTTTGTCAAATGTATGGAGTTAAAAATTCTTCAGATGTGAATAGTGTTCGATTTCATTTATTCTCAAATACTTTTCAATCAAAAAAATCCGATGAAAATTTTGAGAAGAAATTTCGAAACTTTGACTCATCGAGTTTGCCACCCTGTAAAGCGGAATTGCAACAGCATTTATTGAGAGTGCGCTACGTGACTAAACTTTGGAGGAATGCTCACTTGAAACATCCAACTTCTTTATCTCCAGTTGCTTCCGGTTGGATCATCAAAGATAATAAATATGATTTTGTCTGGTTCCTGGGAGAGCAGTTACCATCATCAATTGCTGATATTATTATTCAAAGTAAGTATACAATAGAATATCTATCAATAATCAGTAAAATATCATATAAGAAACGACAAAAACTGTACTATATTAACTTTTTTTTGTTACAGATGAGAGAGTTTTAAGAAATGATGACAATGACCAAGACGATGATTTC